TATACTAAACTAACCCACTGTAATATATTCTATAATTATAACCTACCCCTAGGGCTCCAGTTCCCTAAATAGTAGGTTACTGGGGTACATAAACGATGGTTAGTAACCTACTATTTAGGTAACTGGAGCCCTAGGGTACTATAATATACCATAGCCTGTTGCCGTTCCAGCAATTGCACTGGGGGCTGGGAGTCGCTCCGATGCGCACCCTAAGCCCAAAACCCTAAACCCTATAAAGCCTAAAGCCTAAACCCTAAACCCTAAACCCTAAACCCAAAACCCTATAAAGCCTAAGCCCTAAACCCTATAAAGCCTAAGCCCTAAACCCTAAAGCCCTAAACCCTAAATCCTAAACCCTAAACCCTAGACGCACAGGCGCTGGAGGAGCAGAGAGAGCGTGATGAGCAGGCAGCTCTCCAGACGGCGCACGAGCCCACGGTTTAGGGTTTGAGGTTTAGGGTTTTTGGCTTAGGGTTTAGGGTTTAGGGTTTGGGGTTTAGGGTTTGAGGTTTAGGGTTTAGGGTTTAGGGATTAGGGCTTAGGGTAGGGTTTAGGGTTTAGGGTTTGGGGTTTAGGGGTTTAGGGTTTAGGGTTTAGGGTTTAGGGCTTAGGGTTTAGGGTTTAGGTGTTTAGGGTCTTGGGGTTTTGTGAAGCCCAGGTTGGGTGTTTGTTGGAATTTAGTGTCTTGCCCGCACGATACAGAAGGGTCATTGCGGGTTGTTCTCAATCTCCACGGTAAGCCAAGCCCCTAAACCCTCTGCCTTGACTACCCCCGTGCCCCTTGATCCTTGACTCCACTTTCTTGGCATCCTCTTACTGATCAGGTAGAGGGTCCGGGCCGAGGGGTCTGGCGGAATCAACATTAGGGCAGGAGACCCTTAGGATGCCCTAGGTGATTAGGGAGTGTGCGTGTTATATAACGCGGCCAACTTGAGACGATACCGTGACATCCTAAAGCAATGCCGTCCATACGTCAAGGCCTTACAGCCTGACAAAGCAAAAGGAGCGCGGCAGGGCTGAAAGTTCTACTACCTAAGCACGAGTTTACGCATGGGCTACTCACTGTGATCCGAGAAAGGAATGGACATCATTGTATGGCATCAATGCCACCAGTTACCATATCCGCTCTAGGGCTTCCAGACTTCAAAGCCCAAGCCCTCTGAAACCCTTATAAGACCCGTAGAAACTTGATAACTCCTTCTAAACCCTAAACCCCTAAACCCCTAAACCCCTATAGACCCTAAACCCCTAAGCCCCTAAACCCTAAACCCTGAACCCCTCAACCCCTAAAACCCTATAACCTAAAGAATCACCGCGTTTCCATGGCTCAGATTCGTCTCCTCCTCGCGGCGGAGGTCGCCAAAGCGCGAGAGGCTGGCTGGAAAGTACCAAAAGGTCCTAAGCAGTGTAGAACGGTGTAGGGTTTAGGGAATTAAGCAAGCACCCAATAGTATGCCTTGGGGCTCCTGGTAATAAGTATACTAGAATATAGCCAGAAATCCTTGTTTTTATTGCGCAAGCCCCCTACAACACCCATCATAGGCAGTTTGTACTTACGTAGACTTATAAATGAACAGGTCATCAGAGAATCACACACACATAGATATGTGGAAGATAGTTGCATATACGGGTGGTTGTCAAAATTATGGTCCTTTTTTGGGTCCTTATTATAATACGGTACCTATTATTTAGGGTACCCCAAAAGGGACCATAATTTTGACAACTACCCATATACATGTGTGTGTGTATGTGTATATATATATATATATGTTTATCAACCTGCAGCGGGCCTGACAGAGATTCCTAGAGAGTGCCATTGTGTTATATGACTCAACGTGTAAGCTAAGTCTTGGGCCTATCCCTTTACTGACTTTTACTCTCCGGCGCAATCTGCATCTGTTGTGGCCGTCGAACTCGCAGCTGACAGAGACGCCCTGCCATGCAATATAGACCACACATCATAGGATCCTTCGTGTAGGGACCCCGAAGAGGGATCAATATTCATATTCCGATCGAGCTAGGTGGACGAGCCTTATACATTCAAACAAAAGCCTACTGGAGGCATCAGCCTAGCAAGCTTGAGCCCTAACCCTCAGATCCACAAATTAGGAAAACAACTTCAATGTCGAAGCGTCAGCCCATGCGTCGCCCAGCTGCCAGAACTTTGGCCAAAGTGCCGGCATCCAACCTCTACAATCTTCTGGGCGTCCGACGCACAGCATCACTTCAGGAGATCGACAACGCCTACCAGCAGCTTGCCAGGAGTCTTCCAACCAACGAATCCTTCCAGGAGTTGTTCAATGCCTACGAGACGTTGTGCGACCCTGCGGCAAGGATGCGTTACAATCATGATCTTGTCGCGACCGACAGCTCTGACGGCCGTGAAGGGCATCGAAACACAGAGGGAAGCAAGCTGCATCCACTGGCTGACTATCCAAAGGAGCTTGTCAGAGTACTTTTGGAGTTTCAGCCCTCGCAATGGTCGGCTGGGCTTCAGAACATGTCCGTGCCACAGTTGAACCGGGTCATAGCAGCTCTTGGGACGATTAGCGAAGGCAATTTCCGCACGGCTCGGGATGAGCGAAATGCAGACCACTTGTCGCTATGCAACCTCTCAATATCGTCGAAAGGGTATATAGTTCGATGGCAATGGAGGGGCTTGAACCTCCTGTCTAGGCAAACTACTAGCGCCGCGGCGGCGGTCTTCTACCACAGCCGCATGATGAAGGTACGACACATGCTGTCGGATGTGATCGAGTCCAACCCGGACTGCAACCATGATGAAGCCGTGCGAAGAGCTTTCGATGACTGGACGCAGAAAGGCTTCGCCTGTCCGGTCTCATTCCAATACTTAGTCCAAATCGGAAACCAGAAAGTTGCTCTGCCACAGGTGCAAAGCCTGGATCTCGCGCTCCGCATGCGACAGCAGGCGTTGCAGGCGGGGTGCGCTCGAGCCCTAAAGAGTCTGAAGGCGCAATGGGCCCAGCAGGTTGCAGAGTATGCCGACAAGCGGTGTGAGATGATGAAGCGAAAAGCCGAGCAGCTTATCGGCTTCGCGTTGTGCCAGAAGCAGAATCAAGAGCAGCTTCCGCAAACTCGCCTGGCCAAGTTCGGCAAGCAGCCCCCAGACCGTTCAATACAGGTGCCGCTGTCAGAAGGCATCGCGAGCCAGTTAGGCGAATCCAACGAAAGCCTTCAAAGACGCTTTGCCCAAGCGAGCGGCCAAGAGATGCTTTTCAGATTCCTCCTGAGCGATATTGCGAAGGATGAGAATGCACCCAAGAAAGAGTGGGCAGCGCGGGCTCTTGAAGAGATCGAAAAAAACACTGCATCAGCCGCGAAGCTGCGTCGGGTTCAAAGCTTGCCTTGCATTGGCGTGATCCCGAGCTCGCCAGCACTGCAGGACACAGTGAGGGCCCGCAAGTGTTATGTCACGATGCTTCCCCGAAAGACACTGGAGGAAGGTCTGGTGCCTTTGCTGGGCCTGTCTGACATGGCAGCATGTGGACCAGTGTGCTCTGCCTTGAGGAACATGGTGTGTGACAGGATGGCACTGCTATGTCTCACAGGCTGGGGTCGTCAAAAATGGGACCAACGATGGGGAGGTGTAGGTTGCTAGGGTCAGAACCGTTTGCATTCCCAGCCTCTGGGCTTTGATTTTTATATACGAACTGCTCATTTCGCGATCTTACCTTTGTTGAAGTACTCTTGCTTCCCTGTTTCCTTTGCCCTCGCGTTTCCGACCTATTTTCCGACTAGCCAGTTACGACGCCTGCCGCCCCCAAGGCTTCGAACTATATCCTGAAGACTTTGCGGCAGAGCAGACATGGACACATGTCATCTCATTCCTGCACTGTCCCTATGTGCGCTACGCCACACTGCTGGACTTCAGCTTGCTCCCGGGAAGTCCCGGTGGCAATGATCTCGGCCATGCTCTTGAACACCTCCAGCTGCTCCACACGGTGAAGATCTCACCTCGGCACAGTCCCGATGTGCCTGCCAAAAGCTGCCGAACTGTCAAAGTTGAGCTGCGAGAGGATAGCTGAGCTTGCCATGTTCCCCAGATTCCGGGTGGCGGTGTCCTGGGGAACGGCCTTGGAAGGTAGGAAATCCGACGAGGTATAAACCACGGTTTAGGGTTTTGGGTTTAGGGTTTATGGTTTAGGGTATAAGCTGACAGGATTCACTGTACGATGTGCCAGACATGCTGCTTGGACCTAGCTGCATTCATGAGCCACTGCGAAAAGCAGCAAAGAGACAACTGCGCCGGCCTCACGGTATCCGCAATGGTGTGCGCTTGTCCTCAGAGCCGCCCGGCCACCTCTCCACAGCGATATTATAGTATATTATCATATATTTTGGAATATGATAGTATATCATCGTATATTATATTATAGTATATGACAGTATATTATAGTATAATTAGCTATATAGTATATTATAGTATATTATAGTAGATTAATTATAGCAGATTATAGTAGATTATAGTAGATTTTAGTATTTTTAGCATATAGTAGCAGATTTCATGGTTGTTGAAAGCTATGTCATCCTGTGCGAGCAGGAAAGCCGCGCGGCTGCCAGTGAGGCGCCGGTCGAAATGCTTGGGCTCCTGTTTGGGCCTGGGACGGGGTTTACGGTTTAGGGTTTAGGTTTTAGGTGTAGGGTTTAGGGTTTATGGTTTTAGGTTTAGGGTTTAGGGTTTAGGGTTTTAGGTTTAGTGTTTAGGGTTTAGGATGATTTGAGGTTCATCTGCTGTTTCTTCCCGGCTTTGAGCCCCGAAACGCCATTGAACCTGGAGCCATGTGCTGCAAACGAAATCCCAAGACTCTCGGCAACATCATCACAATCGTTCCCGTCAGCATCCCGTTCATCGTCATCATCATCCCAAGCAGCCCAGTCACTGTCATCAGCTTATCTCAAAGATCGTCACTTCCCCATGCTGCGGAGCCCGAAATCCTAGCCTAGACCTAAGTCTTACGGCATGCTTCCCTTTGCGCCAGATGCTGGAGCTGATGAAGCAAAGAGCCGCGGGCCAAGCATGACGGCAATTTCTGTAGCGCTCAGCATGAGAGTTTGTCAATTTCCGAGTTCCTTTTTGGAGGCCCGGTTTTCCAGGATCTGCTTACCCTAAACCCTAAACCCTAAACGAGACATCCTAAACCCTGCCCTACCTCCATGTGCGATGGGGTTGGCTTGATTGGTCGGGCTAAGAGCCTTCCTTCTCCGAGGAGTAAAGCGAAACAGTCAGAACAGCTTGGTTTTAGGGTTTAGGGTTGAGAGTGGACGGGAGGCTCAGGATCAAGAGGTTGTGCTTCAAAGGACATTTAGGCATCATTTAGGGCATAGTCGGTATAGTGTCTTACCATGTTCAGAGTTTCTGTTCCCAGGGTTCAGGATCTGCGGTTTCGGGTTTAGGATCCCGACTTTTCTCAGACCGATCTCACAGAATGCCTTGAACTTTTCGTATCGGCTGCTGCTTGCCTGACAGGAGGAGTCAATGACTCAACGAGCTATGGAGGTGGCTATGGCTACGGGTTTTCTGTGGGGCTGTGAACGTTAGGCTTCCGGGTTTCAGGGTGTTCGTTTTTTCAGGATTTGGGGTGCGTGGGGGTTCAGTGTTGGGGTGTATATACTTGGAGGTTCATGGGTAGTTATAAGTGGGGTTATAAGTAGGGTAACTATAATTATAACCCATATTAGGAGACTTATAACTCCACTTATAACTACCCATGAACCTCCAATTCCACCACTTAGAACGACCCATGAACCTCCAAGTAGGGTTGTTGGGTCTGAAGGCTTGCGGCTTAGACAATAGACTCTCATAGTTCGGAGGTATAGTCCACAGGCCAGAAAGCACTTTCCTGCAAACCGGTCGCAGCGGCGACGCTTAGGGTTCAGGGTTTAGGGCTCAGGGTTTAGGGTTTAGGGTTGAGGGTTTAGGGTCATGTCCTGACCTGCGCATGGTCTCAAGCAAGGGGTACAGTACACGCAGACCACACGTAGTTCCTTCACTCACCCCTGCGCAGATGTCCGCGACAGTGGAGCGGGTCATGGCCGACGCAAAGGCCCGTGAACATGACTTGAAGAGCTTGAGTTGAGCGATTTAGGGTTTAGGGTTTAGGGTTTAAGGTTTAGGGTTTAGGGTTTAGGGTTAAGGGTTAAGGGTTTACGGTTTAGGGTTTAGGGTTTCCACGCAGTCAAGCGTGATTCTCATTTTGCATTCGTCGTTGACGCCAGGGCCAATTTCAGAAGCCCCAGATGTCAGGATGCCTGCTCATCCAAATTAGGACGCACTGAGCTCCTGGCACCCTGGTACCCTACTTGGAGGTTCATGGGTCGTTATAAGTGGGGTTATAAGTAGGGTAGCTATACTTATAACCCATATTAGGGGACTTATAACAGCACTTATAACTACCCATGAACCTCCAAGTAAGCCCAAAACCCTGATATTCCGGGCTTTGGCCCGAGCTTGAACATCGAAGTCTTGATGAGGGAGTCCAGGCTCCTGATGATGGACCTTGATGTGGGAGAGTTCCGAACCTGGGTCCCGTTGAATGATTGCTTGACTCCAGTAGGTGTCCGGAAAAGGCTAGCATGGAGCCTCAAACTTCGAAGCCACGGCACTTATCTAAAACCAAGAGCCTGCAAGTAGCCCCAAACAGCTTAGCCCAGAATCCCTAAACCCCTGAACCCCTAAAGCCCTAAGCAGCTTAAGCCCTGAATCTCGAAGCCCCCATGACCTCAGAACGCCGAGCAGCAGCACCGAGTCGAGGCGCGAGTTCTGGGAGCTCCCAATAGCGATACTAGGACATGCTACACGCCTGTCATGAAAAGTACTACTACGACTACTTCGCCTACTACGACGACGACGACTACTACTACTACCACTACTACTACCACTACTACTACCACTACTACTACTACTACTACTACTACTACTACTACTACTACTACTACTGGGGCCACTACTATCACTACTACTACTACTACTACTACTACTACTACCACTACTACCACTACTACTACGACTACTACTACTACTACTACTACTACTACTACGACGCTGCCCGGGTTATGCCACTGGCAGAGTGCTCCCCGAATATCACACTTGTTTAGTTGGCCGTCCGTACCTGCCCTCCTGACTATTTGCACCTGTTACCACCAGACTTTGCACACAAAAACGCAGCTTTGCCCTGGGAGGCAGAGACAGCACTGCGAAAGCTGGAGGAAGTGGTTCACTTGAGCTTGTTGCTCGTATCTCTGGGGTCTTGCGTAATCTGTGCGCATGGCGAGTTCGGAGTTGGGGCCTCCCTAAACCCTAAACCCTAAACCGTTTTCCTCGTAAACTTGCAAAGGCGTGCATCTCCGAGCGCCTCCTTTGGGACCTACTGCATTAGAGACGTGCTTTGGCGTCCATACCGGCCACTAAACCATAAACCCTATAGTTTAGGGTTTAGGTTTAGGTTTTAGGGTTTAGGGTTTAGGGATAAACCCTGAACTTCAGAAGTGAAATCACATTGAGCCCTGACACCCCGAACCCTCGGAGGAGCAGCGCGAAGCAGAGCGCCTCAAATTCGAGCGCGAGCTGGAGCGGAGGACGAAGGCGAAGATCAGATTTTGGGTTATAGAGGGGAATTACAGAATATAGGGTTTAGGGCTTTGGGGGTTTAGGGTCTAGGGCTTAGGGATAGGGTTTTGGTGGGGTATAATACACAATAAATCATACTACGGAACCCCCAAAATCGAATTGCTAATAATTTCGGGCCCCTATAGTAGGCATGCTGAGGGGTCTGCTCAGGGTTCCTAGAGGCTCAGGTTCAGGGATGTCTGGAGTATGTAACCCTATGCTTCCAAGGACCTTATAGTTAGGGCCCTAGACCCCTTAAGGACCCACTAATGAGGTCCCTGGAAGCGGGGTAATATTGCTGCTGATCTAAATCCTGCATTACCTTATCAGGAACCTAAACTATGAGAAGTGTGGTATATTCCTTATCATGGGTACTGCAGGACTTATATCATCAACCGTATGAGCTGTACGACACCGTAGCTAAAACGCTAAACCCTAAACCCTAAACCTGAAACCCTATAACCCTAAACCCTAAAGCCCTAAGCCTAAGACCCTAAGCCCTAAGCCCTAAACCCTAAACCCTAAACCCTAAACCCTAAACCCTAAACCCTAACCCTAAACCCTTAAGCCATTACTTTCTTGCATTGCTCATGTAGTTTTCGGCACATTCTCGCCTCCCAAGTCGACCGGTCCTGGCTGATCTGTAGTAACCTTCTACTTGGAGGTTCATGGGT